TAGACAAGAACGCAGCCGCCGACGAAAAATTGATCTTGGGCGCTCGTAAGAGTATTTGTGGGGGGGGGGGACATTTCGAGGGGGTGCCTGCCTAATCACGCAGTCCTGTATCGATTGGCGGTGGTCCCTACGGCGGCTCCGGTCGATTCCCGTCCGCGACGGCGTTGCGTATATATGAAGGAAGTGCTGTTGCAATTGTAGCGCGTTACAGCGCGTCGACGGGCGTTAGCGCGAGGTCTGAGCCGCCTTTACTAAAATGAAAAAAGCGAAATGATTGTGTGACTGATTTATTTTATGCATTTTGCAGCCTCATCGTCTTCTATGCAGTCAGTGGTTGCTATCTGTCAAGATGGATCTTACCACAGGTTTTTGTCCCATCAATGCTCCCAGGCTTGTATAACGTGTTGTTATTGAGGTAATCTAGTTTCCTCTCTTCAGGTTCTCATTTGGTGCGGATGGTTCCACGAAACGGGAAGGTTTTGATTACGTTATGCAGCTCGGCGATGAGCAGGAGTTCTGGACGAAACCTTTTTGAATTATTCTTTTCTAATGCACCCTCATGACTTCCTTTCGATTTCCTTTTTTTTCTGTACACCCTCACGTGATTCTGTGTTACTGTACTGCTGCCTTCAAACAAGTAACCTTGTCTTGATATTCTTCATTATCGTATCACGGTTTCACAGCTCTTCGTTTCCTCACACTTTACTTTTTTCGCAGTTCAGCAAGTTCACTGGGTGCCTTCATCTGTGTTTCTTTCTCGGTGTACATAACTCGTTTCGCACGTTGTACAAAATTGTAAATACACTGCATTTCATTGCATAAATGTTTAGGGTGTATGGGCCATCGGGGGTTCATTCAACCAAGTGCTTCATCGAAATCTCATCAGCCTTCACAGGAAAACACTTATTCTCGGGCTCCAAATCCATCTGCTCGAAACTACTTTGACGAAATGGCTCCAGTTAATGGAATAAGGGAATTGTCGGAGGTAAGGCTGCGTTCATACTTTGCGGCAGCGTTCACAGCGTACGCCGGCGTCTCGAGGGGCTAGGGAAGTACAAGTATCGATCTGCGCACGCCACCAGGGTTTTCGCGGGCGGTTTTCTTCAAGTTCAAAAGTAATGTAATGCAATGCCAATTTTTCTTATCAGGCTGCGTTCATGCTTTGCGTCAGCGTACGGTCGCGTTTCGAGCGTACGCCAGTGCTGCGAAAGTATAGGTGTCGATGAAGCGTAGGCTAGCGTTCTTTGCGGGCAATTTCAACTTGAACAAAACTGACGGCGAGGACGCTGCTGTAGGCTGGCATATGCTAGGTGGATACTTATACTTTCCTAGCCGCGGACGCTGGTGTACGCTCGAAGCGCTGTCGTACGCCGGCATAGGCTGACGCAATGTAAGAGAGCAGGGTTGTATACACACATGCTTTAATCCGTGAGGATTCTAAACTTGACATTTTGCATTACGCGTGACCTTTGCAGGTATTTCTTTGCAGTGAAAATCATTGTTCAGGAACAGCTGGCCGAAGCTCAAGAGCTACGCAATAAGTTTCGAGATGAGGTGTCAAAGAAGATGGGCGAGCTTCTTCTTCGCGGAGTCACCATGCTGGATGCATATTGTCAAATCTGCAACGTGAGGCACTGAACCGTCCTTTCTGCATGTATATAGGAACGGCAATTTTGTGACCTTAAGGGTATTTTAATGGAAGATCGTAATGGAGTCCGCACATGTGTCACCTGTGAGCTGTTTGCTGAACGCACAAGAGAGGGATCACGATTAGTTGCAGAGGTTCCTCTTGGTTGGTGTTACCTTTTACATTCAGAGAAAAGCCTTTCCAATTGATCTTTGCCAGTGAAATGAGCTGAACCTATACGTATTTTTTGTTATTTTCAAGAGAACTGGTTTGATAGTTACGGTCTAGTTTTGATCAGATTCGGCGCTGATGGAGTTACCTGGCACACAGCAGGTAGCTGTCGAGAAGATGTTGCGTCATGCGGAATGTCGGTAGAGTCTAATAGTGGATATTGATTATCAAATTTGTGATTATTAATTGTTAGTGCTTGTCATATTGTGTGTGTGTGTGTATGGTAGAGCAATTTTCCTTTTTTTTATTTTGTTTAACGTCTGAAAGACGGATAGGTTATTTCTGATGGTGATTGATCCGGAAGAAAGGTACTCGGGTTTTTACATTTGAGGCTCAGGATCTCAATTAAGGCTGCAAATATCGGTATGATTTGTATAGTTTTTGTAGTACTCTGATCTGGACGGAGGAGGGCAGAATACCATAGATTTGCTAAGCTTTGAGAAGGGCGGTCTGGGAGGGGTGTATGAACCAAGGTTTTCTCGTGGATATAACGAACGTACTCATGTACTCAGGAGAACGCAAGTTAGCTCTTAAGGTAAACCTTCTTCTTTAATAAACTGCTAAGTGTAATCACATTTCATTGCAAGTAACAACTCTGAGAACAGTTGTAGTAGACCGCCCAGCATCTATGAACTCATATCCTTGAATTGATACGATAAGTCTGCATACCGGACTGTCACTAAGCGATATATCGGCGCTCGGCTATAAAAAGCCTTCGTGGTATGCGAAGGCACTTTTTCGTCTTATGCTTCAGCAAAGCTGTCCGGCCGAAGCTGTAATATGAACGACTCTTTTGTTTTATCTAGACTAGTTGCGTTAGACTTACTCGATTCCCTTTCGTAGGTGCGTATGGTTGACATAGAACGGAAAAACTGGGCTGAAGGGAATGTTCCGGTGGTTGGATCGAAGGAGTCAACACCATCTGCTCCAACTACGTCAGTTCCAGCCAGAGGGCCCACGGGAATTCGGGTTGGTGGTCTTCATTGATAGATGAATCTTATGTAGCATGCTGTTTTTTTAATACAGGGTGTACCTCTTTCCTTCGATGGATGCACTGCAGCGCTCCTTGCCATCGACAGAAAACTAAAGTGGGCTGGCGAGAGAATTGATCGAAGTGAAAATCCATCAGAAATCCGAGAAATGTTCGCTCTTGTTAACGAAGGATTGAATATCATCCGGCATGCGAAAGTTGGTCGTGAGTAATGGCTAGTAGAAACCCAATGCGTTTCATGTCTCGTGTATCCCATACATTCTCAAAGTAAACCTGCCTTTCTTTCGCTTGCCGGTGTTTCAGAGAAATGAACCGATTTGCATGATTCAGGCATTGTATTGCTATGTGATTATTCTTAGTTTTGTTCACTTGCTAAGCGGTTTGCTTACTTGCGGCTCTTTTAAACAATAAAGTAATTTCATAGATGGTTGTTCCTGGCAACGTTGCATTTCGGCAGAAATCGATGCCTCTTTCCAACAAGTCCGCCTATCAACCACCTCTTGCCCTCATTTTCTCTATTCTCTATCAGAATATGGTACATTTACCCAATATCTTCCCTCAATAGCACGACGTGCACGAAGTTCTGACAGTTCTTTTGAGACCCCACGTCCAAACTTGGGGTTTCGTAAGGCGAAAATCCTAGGCAAAAGTGTAGAAGAACTACGAAGGTAGGTTAAATGTGCTCAACAAGGCAGTTCAGTTCCACGGGCTGTTTTTCCAGTTCTAATGTTCCCGTCCCAAAGTTTCGAGGTGATGCCGTTTTCGGGATATATCCGGTGTGTGAAGCTCTGGCTACTGGGAAACGGACGTTTTTCGCTCTGTACATGAAGGATTCGGTGAGGTAGGCGGTTTTTAGTTCGTGTGTCGCAAAATCAACAAATAGATGGCATTTTTCGAGGCTTCTACCGTTCTCAGCATCTGTGCGACCTGTGAGATTCCTAGGAACTGGCGCAGGTTTAGCACAGTGGCCTGTAAAGAGTTCCTATGAAGAATTTGGGGATGATTTGTTATCTAACGCGACAATGACGAGCGAGCCCAATCACTGACACCCCCTCAAGGCACGTCATTATCAGTGAGACGTCATCTATCCCTCAACAGGTAACGTACTGGACCTTGTTCCTGCGCTAAATCAGCGCCGGAAAACCAACAATTTCGAAAAATGCAAGTCCTACAGCATTGTCGCTCAGCA